GTATTCTTTGAAAAATCAATTATGTTATTACTTTCAAGTTCTGTATATTCCTTTAATACGTTACAAATTTCATCCATTTTGTTCGTTTCAAATGATTTTCTATTTGCCGAAACTCTTCCTCCTTTAATAGATCGTCTGATAAAATTTCTTATAAAAGGATTTGTGTGCGAATAAACTTTTTCTATATTTTCTTTTTCGGTATGTTTCGCAACCATTCTAGTAGTTTCATACCATTCTTCTTCCACCATTTCTTTATCGTAATGATATAAATAATACCAACCCTTTAAAGATAAAGACGGAGCCGTTAAATCATTGGACATATTCTGGTTTACAACTTCTTTCGTGACTTGGTTGTATTTTATCAAACAAGCTCCCAAACAGAGAGTGTCTCTCTTGGCGTAAGGTTCCCATTCGTGTCTCAATTCCTCCCAGTTGTCTTTCGTGTATTTAGCGATATCTACGTCGGCAATCTTTCTCAAATTCGTGGGAAGATTGGAAGAATTTCCCCATGCAGCCAAACTAGAGGATTCGTGTTGATAGGAACATGTGAAATTAATATGTTGTAAGTAATTACCCTTTATTTCTTTCTGTCTTTTCCATTTTTTCTGTAAATCTTCATCCGTGTATGGATTAGATAAAGGAAAAGATAGAATTCCTCTGGGTGTTTTTAAAGGGCAATGCGTTAGTTTTTTTGCATTTTTAAGCACGATCCAGTTGTCGAAACCACTGCCGTTATGAGAAATGAATATTAATCTCTTTCTATCATATTGACCTAAATATTTCAACATTTGATCGATGCAATCTGTACCTACAAATATTTCTACTACATTCATTAGTTTATCATAAAATTCTTCTGGAATGGGATCTGTAGGCTTTAAATCTGGAAATAGATTATTTATACTGTTTAACATTTTCCTTAGTTTTTCTAAATTAATTAAAGTGCAGGCATAAGGAATTGCTCTTCGCGTGTCTTTTTCTGAATACGTTTCGCAATCCCAACCGAATAACGCATCATCACTCAAACTCGAAAGCACGTTTA